GACTCCGAGTCCCGGGGGCTGCTGGGATTTGTAGTCCCCGCTGGTTATCCCACCTCTTTAGGGTGGATGCGCGCTGAGGATCTCATTGGACTACAGGGCATTGTAAAACTTTACATACTTTTCCCCTACGACCACGCTGTTATGCTGGGGTTCTTTGAGTTTTTGCTCTTTCCGTTTGTCCCTCGGTCTCTATCCGTTTCACCTATTCTTGAAAAGGCACACCTACTCACAACTATGAATCTCTGCTCCCTCATGGGGATGCCCACCAATTCAGTGCCACTACTGAATTGAGGTGGCACGGTTCAGATCCCTTCCCCGGCACTTGTAACTCATCAAGCTCTCTGTTCTAGCTGTAGTTAGGTTGCAAAGAATGTGTAAGTGGGGCAAAGTGAAAACCTAACAACACAGGATCTTGGTTCTGAGTCCAAAATGATCCCCAATGGACTGAAAGATCCCGGCCAAGTAGTAGAACTGCTGTGGCCACCAAATGCCTTTTCACCCACCATTGTGTTTCTGGAGAATAGTTTACTTCGACTTGAGCCCTGTTCTAAAACTCCTATGGTTCAAACTAAAGAACAATTAAAGTCTGTCGTGTGATACTCTCAAACCCAAAACCATTACTAGTGAGTATCTAGTAACCAGTTTATACATAAACACATACAGATATACATAAATCTATATATCTATACATATTTTTCTTGAGGGAATGATGGAATTCTTGTCTTTTGACTACTTTTTCAACGCAGTTTGCTTTGTAAACCCCGATGTCTGTTTCCTTTTATTTTTTTCGTCATTCAAGCAGGAACTGTTAATATCTTTTCATTGTCCATAACAGAAGTACAATAATTTTTAAATATTTGCTGTCTGGAGCTGGAGAGAATGCTCAGGAATTTAGAGCACTGGCTGCCCTTCCTGAAGACCCAGGATGGACTACCAGCATCCTTATGAAGGCCCACAACTGGCTTTAACTTCAGTCCCAGGGTATCTGCTGACCTTTTCTGGCCTCTAAGAGTTCCAAGTAGGTATGTGGTCCACAGACAAACATGCAGACAGAATACCCATACCCATACATGTAAGCAAAGCTTTTTATATGACTAAATGGTTTTTTTTTTTTTTTTTTTTTTGGTTTGTTGAGACAGGGCTTCTTTGGAGGCTGTCCTAGAATTAGCTCTCAAAGCCCAGGCTGGGCCAAAACTCACAGAGATCCGCCTGCCTCTGCCTCCCGAGTCCTGGGATTAAGGGCGTCGAGTCCTGGGATTAAGGGCGTGCCCCCACCACCATCCGACAACTGTTTCTTTTTTTCTTTTTTTTTTAGTTTTTAATTACTTCTTACCTTTAATTGACTTCTGTTTTTTGATTTTTTTCTAACTTTTTAAATTTGAATTAGAAACAGGATTGTTTTACAAGACAATCTTATCTGTCACATGTCTTTTGTGCTCCCCCTGGATGGTGAGGCCTTCCATAGGGTGTCATCAGAGTCTTTCTATCCTTTGGGATAGGGCCTCGGCCCCCCCCTCCCCCCCCC